GGCCAGATTAACTAGAAACAGAAAAATAAAATCTCAATCAGAAATGATAAAGGGGAATTAACAACAGATGCTACAGAGATAGAAGAGCTCATCTCTGAGTACAAGAGACTCTATGCCCAGAAATTTGACAATATGGAGGAAATGGATCAATACCTGCAATTGCACACTCTCCCTAGACTTAACCAAGAAGAAACAGATCTCTTGAACAGACCAACATCAAGAACTGAGATTGAAGAAATAATAAAAAATCACCTAACAAAATCATGCCCAGGTACAGATGGCTTCACATCAGAATTCTATCAAACCTTCAAAGAAGAACTTATACCCATGCTGCAGAAATCACTCCAAAAAACTAAGAAGGCAGGAATTTTCCCCAACATGATCTATGAAGCAAACATCACCCTGATACCCGAACCAGAAAAAGACCCAACTAAAAAAGAGAATTTCAGACCAATTTTACTAATGATTATAGATGTAAAAATTCTCAATAAAATCCTAGCCAATAGATTACAGCTACACATTAAAAAAAAAAATTATTCATCATGATTAAGTAGGTTTCATCCCAGGGAGGTAAGGCTAGTTTAACATAAGTAAGTCCATAAATGTAAATCACCATATCAACAGAAGCAAAGACAAAGACCATATGATCCTCTCAATAGATGCAGAAAAAAGCATTTGGTAAAATTCAGCATTCTTTTTAAATTAGAACAGTTAAGAATGTAGGAATAGGTGGCATATTTCTGAATCTGATTGAAGCCATCAACAACAAACCCACAGCTAATATTATACTGAATGGAGTAAAACTGAAAGCTTTTCTACTTAGAAGTGAAACCAGACAAGGTTGTCCTCTATCACCACTACTATTGAACATGGTGCTGGAAGTTCTAGCAAACACAATCAAGGCAGAAGAAGAACATAAAGGGCATTCAAATGGGAGCAGAGGAGGTCAACTCTCCCTCTTTGCTGATTATCTGATCTTATACCTAGAGAACCCCAAAGACTCAATCACAAGACTTCTGGAAGTGACCAAAAAAATACAGTAATTTCTCAGAATATAAAATCAATGTCCACAAATCAGTAGCCTTTGTATTTGCCAATAACAGTCAAGATGAGAAGCTAATCAAGGACACAATTCCCTTGGAAGGAAGGAAGGAAGGAAGGAAGGAAGGAAGGAAGGAACGAACAAACGAAAGAAAGAGAAATACCTAGGAATATACCCAACAAAAGAGGTGAAGGAGCTCTATAATGAAAATTTTGAAATCCTAAGAAAAGAAATTGCAGAAGATATTAACAAATGGAAGAACATACCATGGTCACGGCTAAGAAGAATCCATATTGTCAAAATGTCTGTATTTCCCAAAGCAATAGACAGATTCAATGTAATCCCCATTAAAATACCATCATCATACTTTCAAGAATTGGAAAAAATAATTCTTCTTTTTGTATGGAACCAGAAAATACCACATATAGCTAAGGTAATTCTTTTTTTTTTTTTTTTTTTTGAGAAAGAGCCTCAAGCTGTCCCCCTGGGTAGAGTGCCGTGGCATTACAGCTCACAGCATCCTCCAACTCCTGGGCTCAAGCGAGTCTCCTGCCTCCACCTCCCAAGTAGCTGGGACCACAGGTGCCCGCCACAACACCCGGCTATTTTTTGGTTGCAGCCGTCATTGGTGTTTGGCGGGTCCGGCTGGGGATTCGAACCCGCCACCTTAGATGTACGTGGCTGGCGCCTTAGCCGGTTGAGCTATAGGCGCTGAGCCGGTAATTCTTAATAATAAAAACAAAGCCGTGGGAATCACCCTACCAGACTTTAGGCTATACTACAAGGCTACAGTGATCAAATCAGCATGGTATTAGTACAAAAATAGAAACATTGTCATTTGGAACCAAACAGAAAACCATGAGATGAAACTAACATCTTACAGCCACCTGATATTTGATAAACCACACAAGAATATACACTAGGGAAAATAATTCCTTTTCAATAAATAGTGTTGGGAGAACTAGTTAACCACATGTAAAAGACTGAAACTGGACCTGCATCTCTCACCACTTACAAAAATTGATTTGAGATGGATAAAAAATTGAATTTTAAGGCATGAAACAATAAAAATACTCAAAGAAAGCATGGGGAAAACAATTAAAGATATCGGCCTAGGGAAAGATTTTATGAAGAAGACTCCAGTGGCAATTGTAACAACAACAAAAATAAACAAATGGGACTTAATTAAACTGAAAAGCTTCTGTACAGCTAAGGAGACAACAACCAAAGCAAACAGACAACTTTCAGCATGAAAAAAGATTTTGCATATTATGAATTGGACACAAGCTTGATAATATGGATCTACAGAGAACTTAAATTGATCAACAAAAAAAGAGCCAATAGTCCCATATATCACTGGGCAAGTGATATGAACAGAACCTTCTCTAAAGAAGACAGATGAATGGCTAACAAACATGAAAAAATGCTCATTGTCCCTAATTATCAGAGAAATGCAAATCAAAACCACCCTATGATATCACCCAATCCCAGTGAGAATCGCCCACATCACAAAGTCTCAAAACTGCAAATGCTGGCATGGATGTGGACAGAAAGGAACAATTTTCCATTGCTGGTGGGACTGTAAACTACTAACAACCTTTTTGGAAGGAAGTATGGCAAATCCTTAAAGAACTCAAATTAGACTTCCCATTTGATCCTGCAATCCCATTACTAGCCATCTACCCAGAAGATAAAGAAATCCTTTTATCATAAGGACATTTGCATTAAAATGTTTATCACAGCTCAGTTTACAATCAATAAAATGTGAAAATAACCTAAATACCTACCAACCCAGGAATGGATTAACAAGCTGTGGTATACGTATACCATGGAATACTTATTCAACCATTAAAAAAGATGGAGACTTTACATCTTTTGTATTAACCTGGATGGAAGTGGAACATACTCTTTTTAGTAAAGCATCATTGAGTACATCCAATGTACTCAATTCTAATACGAAGAAAGTAGATGAGCTAATACACTGGTTCTCAACCTTCCTAATGCCGTGATATATTTTCATTGTTAAAAATGGGTTGCAATCCACAGGTTGAGAACCTCTGAGCTAATATAAGGTGGGAGTAGGGGAATGAGGGAAGAAAAAGATGCACCCCTAAAGAATTACAGTAATTTATTTTCAAATTGATACTGTTTCTTTAATTTTTATATGTCATTTAAAATAAAAGTAAATTATGTCTTCAAAAAAATGGTGATCTTTTATCTTTTATAACAACCTGAATGCAACTGGAGAACATTCTTCTTAGTGCAGCAGTTCTCAACCTGTGGGTTGAGACCCCTTTTTAACAATGAAAATACCCTGGGGCATTAGGAAGGTTGAGCACCACTGTCTTAGTGAAATAGCCTAAGAATGGCAAAATCAACACATGTGCAACTAATACTGAATTAGAACTAATTGATCAGAACTTATGTGCACGTGTGGAAGTCAAACTCAACAGAAACCAAGCAGGTGAGCGAGGAGGAGGGGATGGGTAAATTCACACCTCACCAGTACAATGCACACTTTCTAGTGAAGGGCACAGTTATAACTTTTTTTTTTCTGCAGTTTTTTGGCCGGAGCTGGGTTTGAACCCTCCACCTCAAGCATATGTTGCTGGCGCCCTACTCCTTTGAGCCATAGGCACTGCCCCACAGTTATAACTTTTGACTTAAAACATACAAAAACAAATTATATAACCCAAACACGTATACTCTGTAATATTTTGAAAAAATAAAGAAAGCATAGGAAGCAAAGAATAGTAGTGGTTTTTCAAAGTGTCAGGGAATAAACAATGTGTGTGTTAATTTAAAAAAAAAGGAAGAGAAGATCAAGTAGTCTATTTTGTACATAGCACATCTGAGATCCTCCTAGACATCTGAGTGGGGATGCAAAAAGGCAGAGGTGTCTGAAAGTCAGGCTGCAGATCTTGTTTGAGACACACTGGCACCTACATGGGATATAAGTCAGCTAGGGGGTAAATGTGTAAAGAGAAGGGGTTTGAGAACCGAGGCCTGGAGGATCCTGATATTTGAAGGTCAGAAAGAAAAGGGGTTCTAACAAAGGAAACTGAAACAGCAGGCAGCCTGGGAGAGGAATAACCTAACATCTCAGAGACAAATGAAAAGTGTTTCCTGATGGAGGGGAATAAACTATGCCAAACACAGTTGGAGGTCAAGTGAGCAGAGAACTGAGATTGATTACGGGGTCTGTCTGGCAGCAGGGAGGTCACCATCCACACTATACAAGCGACTTCCCTGGAGGGCAGGAATGGAGCAGACAAAGTAAGAGTATATTTCAAAATCCTTTGGAGGAAATCTGCTGTTGTATCCTTTAGAGGAAGGGTGCAATAATTGAAAGGGGAAGAGAGTTAAGAGTTGGTTTTTATTTATTGATTTAAAGCAGGGATATGCCACAGCATGGTTGTATGATGACTGGGAAAAAAGTAATAATTCAAGAAAGAGCAAGAAGTGCACGAGTGAGGCCCCATAGGTGGGAAGTGGCCTGCGATACGCACAGAGGGGAACTAGCTGCCAGCAGGGTCACAGACAAAGGCTGGGGAGAGGGTGCATTGGTGACAGGGATGAGGAAGTTCTATTCCAGGTGCTTGTATTTTCTTAGTGAAGTGGGTGGCACAGTTTTGAGCTCTCAGCAAGGAGGGAGGAAAGATTCTTTTGATGAGGCAGGAAAAAAGTGTGAAAAACAGCTGAAGTGAGTGAACTCAAATACAGTAGCACTGCCAGGCAGGTCTAATGGCCCACTGGAAGTTTCGGGTCATAACTTCTGCGTTAGACCAGTCAACAGTGTTAGATTTTCCTTATAAGCCATTTCAGCAGATCACACCCATGTGAGGAATAAACAGAGTTGCTCCAACCACTGTTGGGGTTTTTGTAAGAGTATATAAGCTAAACAGAGAAGAAAGGAGAGAGCTTAGTGCATCAAAAAATATAATCAGTGGGTATTTACCTGGTTTGCGTTCTAAAAGCTGTTGTAGATGATACACTGCTTGTTCATAGTCCTGTTTTCTGAACATGATATCAGCCATCATCTATGAAGATTAAAGCTGGTTATAAAAATGCTACTATATATTTTACAAGGTGTAGTCTTTTTCTATGAAAATACACATGAAATACATGAGAATGGGCAAAGTTTTTTAAAGAGCCATTGAAGGGTCAGACACACCTTGAGCAGAAAGGCTTGGACAGAAGAGAAGGATGTGAGACAGATTGTTGTATCTGCAAAGCTGTATTTTTAGCAAAAAATATGTTTCTAGTGCTTGTTTTGAAAATAGAAATTTGAAGAGAAATGCATACTCTATGAATCATTGTATAAAAGGTGACTTACTGGACTTGACTAAAATGCCAATGAGAAGATTTAAAAACAAAACGAAGCTTAAATCATAAATGTTTAAAGACTTTAAAATTGAGCAAGACCTACTGAGATTTTCTTGTGTGTTTTAAGAGGGAGACTTCTTAACGTTTCTTTTTAGCTATGACAGTAATTTTAAATGAACCTCACCAAATGTCATCCAGGCAGCTGTTTGAAAAGCTTCCAAATGCTTCAACTCAAGTAACAATAAGAAAAAAAAGTGCAACTGTATTTAAAACATGCACCTTACATGGTCTCTAACAGAAAGTTTTTTTATTTTTATAACTCCAAAAGTTCCACTGAAACTCTTAAATCAGTCTAACATGCCTAAGTGAGTACTTAAAAACTACCCTTTAGCAAATTACAGCTTTTCCACACGAGTGGCACCTGACCAAGCATCCCTTTAAGCTTAGATAAAAATTTAGCCCCAAAAGGGCAAGTTAGGGCCTGACCTAGGTATGTTATTGTTCTTACAAATGAAATGCTAATGATTTTTGGTCTTTGTTGGTAAAATGTACCATATTAGAAGTATGTTAATTCTTCCAAAAGTCAAAATGAGTCTGCCTCATGGGGTAAAATAAGGTCTACTGGGAGGTAAAATTTGAAACTTCCAGTGCAATGTAAAACAAAATCTTCATAGTATTGAACTCTGTTGGTCTAACCATGGTGGCAGGTTCATTATCCTGGTCACTCTGGAGAAGTAATTCACAATGCCGCTGGCAGGCATCAAGGTCATCTTGTGCCAGGTATAATCTTGCCAGTTCCAACATGATCTATAAAACAAAAGGTAGGCTTACTCAGACACCGTTCTGGAATAAAAGTGAAAGAAGAAAACGTCTGGACACAGATTAACTTCAGTTGACCACAGGTTATTGCAATAAAAATATCAAGTATAATAGATAAGAAAAACCAATAGGCATGACTGTCTCCATTTTCTCTTCTAAGAAAACAATAACATCAACAACAACAGCAAAAGCCCAAGAAAACAGGTGGCAATGCAATTGAAAAGTAGAGAGACATAAGGCCTTGTGAAAAGAACTCTGGTCTTAAAAGTGACAGATGACGGTGCCCTTTAACCCCCTTCTACCTCTCTGACTCTGCTTCTCATTTGTAAAATGAAAAGCTCCAGGCAGACAATCTCTAAGGCATTCCTCAGATTTAAAACTGGAATTCTAACTGCGTTACTCACCACTGAAAAAGGGTTGGTTATCATTTACTACAGGTTGTTGTTTGCCCTTCATTTGAAAAATTATATTATTTAATAATAAAAAGTATTCAATCTTAATCTTTCAATTTTAAAAAATGGTTATCTTCTGTTCTATATCATTTACTGAAACTTTAGCCATTTAGTAATTTTTAAAAACTAATCATCCTCCAGATCTTCCGAGATCTTGACAGAATAACCTTTTATTTTACATAACCAGCCATGTGAGTGTATGGCATACAATGATCTTTGTACCTGACTCTCACACTATGCTTCCTGAGGTTCAGAGCTTCAGGCAAGTGACTTCTGCACCCTCAGTGGCAAACACCAATTGAAATACAGATGTGCACAATAGATGTTTTGTAAACTGAATTGAATCATGAAAACCCAGATATTTGTGATTGAAAATTTCTTTCAAAGTGATGATTAAAACACAGATAAATATAGTAAAAAGAAGGAATTTGCAGATTTGCTTTATATTACTTGCTCTACGATAATTTTTAGACTCTAATGTTCTTAAGGCATTACGAACATATTTTGAAAGCTTTCTAGAAACAAAATTAATTTTTTAAACTTGCATTTTTGTTACATTTCTTTTGAAATCTTCTTTATAAATGTTGAGAATTATGCATTTGGGGAAATCAGATGACATCTGAAATAAAAGGTGCTTAACATTTTGCAGAAGCACTGACCTTATTATCTGTTTCACAGTGAACAAGAGCCTCTCTATAAAACTTAATTGCTGTTTCAGAGTCTCGCTGAGCAACAGAATGTTTTGCAATCTCTGCACAAATTTCAGCCGCTAAGTGTTTCTGTGCAGGAACTGCATCTGGCTGTTCCATCTGAACACGTTTCAGTACCCGAGCTTGTAATTCTCTAGCCTAGAAAAGAAATAAGGATTAAAAGATATTTAAAAGAAAATAAAGTAAGCAATTCTCAGTAACTCACACATAGCATAATTTTATAGAAAATTTACTTAAGCATCATTAGCCCTTGACCTAACAAAACTCGATCCAAATAAAATATCTTATTGAGATTGCAAAAATACACTTGTTTACAAATGAGTCAGATGGTATATATCCTACTGATCAAAGTGCTTTAAAATCCTGCATCTTTTCCCTGTTAAAGCTCACTAAGCCAGAAATACACCATGAAACAGATCTTTGGGAAAAACATCTAGATGCTACAATTAAATACTTAAAAATAAAAAATGTTTATTAAATTAATAAAATAGTAAATTTCTAAAAACTATTCAATTGAATTTTGGCAGGCTTTAGGCAATCAGTCCATTTATTATATAATGATGGCACATAAACTAGACCAATCTTTTTGAGCAACACCCCAGCAAAACATACCAACTCAATAAAACTAAACAGGCTGTTGAACTTAGTTGTTCCCTTCTGGAGAAGATACTGAAGGCCATTTATTATTTATTTAGAAGGAAAAAAGGAAATTTGTTATCTGTTGTAAAGAAAAATTAAGGAGAACACTTAGAGAACTAAAAATAGACCTGCCATTTGATCCTGCAATTCCTTTATTAGGTATATATCCAGAAGACCAAAAACCACATTACAACAAAAATATATGTATCAGAATGTTTATTGCAGCCCAATTCATAATTGCCAGGTCATGGAAGAAGCCCAAGTGCCCACTGACCCACAAATGGATCAATAAACTGTGGTATATGTACACCATGGAATACTATGCAGCCATAAAGAAAGATGGAAACTTTACCTCCTTCATGTTCACATGGATGGAACTGGAAAATGTTCTTCTTAGCAAAGTATCTCAAGAATGGAAGAAAAAGTATCCAATGTACATAGCCCTATTATGAAACTAATTTATAGCTTTCATACGAAAGCTATAACCTCATTATAACCTAAGAATATGGGGAGGGGGAGGAAGGGGGTGGATAGGTGGAGGGAGGGTGATTGGAGGGATCACCTCTATGGTTTATCTTACAAGGGTACAAGTGAATCTTTCTAAGAGTAGAATATAAATGTCTTAATACAATAACTAAGAAAATGACATAAAGGCTATGTTAACCAATTTGATGAAAATATTTCAAATTGTATATGAAAACACTACATTGTACCCCATGATTGCATTAATGTACACAGCTATCATTTAATAAAAATAAATAAATAAATAATCTCTGTTATTTGTTATAGAAACTGACCAGAACCAACCTCAATGTCTACAGATGAGGAAATGACTAATCCCTACGCTATGCAGAGAAGAAGGTGGGCCCTTCTTCAGGGTAAGGATGGGCAGCAGGTCACTAAATTGGAAGAATAGAACCTTTCCACCTGTACATCTGGTTTCTGGAGCATTCAGATCTTACTTCAATAAAGGACAGAGAGCTTAGTTTTTCTTTTTCTCTGCCATACACTGGAAGAATGAGCATTGAGTCGGGTCACACATTAAATACACAAACACTAAGGAAAGCTGATTAGGAAAAAAAAGATCCTGAATACTTTTCATGACATCAGACACCCCAGATAAGCAACAGAAAGTCCTCACAAAGTCAGCCTGTGACCCGCTGGCCCCGGGTTGCACTCCCCTGCTTTAGGCCTTCACAAATAAAATTTAACTTTGAGCTAGACATAATCAATCACTAATTAAACTGATACATTCATTTTAAGAAATAGTAACTGTCTAGTCATACATTATGCCACACAGCACCTTTCTGGGAACACCTATCAAAATGTTGGTTGGTACATGGTATTTAGTGAAAACAGTTTAAAGTAGATATTTTTCTCAAACCGTAAGTTTAGAGGTATATAATAAGATCATTTTAGAAATAAAAAAAGTTAAACATGTGAGTGTCTATATCATATAGTATTAATACTGTTTCATGAAATTTTTATTTTGCTTAAGTTAATGTGTTTTTAAGTAAGACAGTATTTGTGTATTTGTGGTTATATATATATATATGGGTCACTATGAAATTTTGGAGACACACTGTGTTATGGTATAATTATTTCATTTCTAAGAAACAACAGTTGACAAGGTCCTTTCTGAGTCACTTGTGCAAGTTTCAACTTGCTTAGCTGATCAGTGTTGCTGGGAAGGCCTCATGTCTTTCCATCAGTGTGGATGTTACATTTCTTGATTTTTGCATATCTCAAAAATTTTGTAATGACAGATATACAAATATGTGTATGTGTATGTATATATATGTGTGTATATATATCTGTGTTGATGATTTTACCTACACATGCACACCCATATGCTTTATAGTCAAAAAACTCTAAAAACAATTGGTCTACATAAGATGATCTCTGTCTGGCAGGAAGCGGTGCCTGCATCCTCCCAGCTCTGTATTCCTGTACTTCTCCCTACCCACGTCCTCCCTTGGAAGAGGGGTGGGATCCTCAGGACTCAGAGGTAGGGCTGCCACCCCAAAGGCACATGTTCCCCAGCAGCCACCTTTAAGAATTCAGCTTTGAGAGATGTTCCTTCATTTTTGGCCCTATCCTATTTTAATAAAGTGAAAACAAGAGAGATCTGCATCAGAGGCCCCTGGCAAACTACCCCAGGGGACAGCTGTCCCTTTATCCAACAATTTAATTGCCTCTATCCTATCATTAGAGCCGTAGGCCTTGAGGGCAGTCTCAATGATTAGACCTGTTATCTCAGCCTAATTATTAATTTGACTGTCTTACCTTTTCCAAAATATTCTATTTTGAATGATAAATCATATGGCCACCTTAGGTCTAAAAGATATGCAATTCATTTTCTAAATAGTTTGAGTTTTATTTCTGAAACAGGTGAATCTCTAGAAAGCCAAATCTGGGCACCTTATTAACTTAGCCTTCTAGGGAAATTCATTTATGAGTTAGATTTTTGTGTGATGCTCTATAATTTTTGTAAAGATAAACATTTGGGGGAAATTTTGAGCAACTGTACTTTATATTTTCTACTAAGGATATTCTTTTTAAAAAATGCTCAGTTTCTGAAAAAGTATGCTTAATGATCATTAAGAAACATTTTGAAATACAAGTTAGTGTTAACAAAAAAATTTTCTTGAAGGATTGGCAAGACTCCGTGTTTTCCCTTGGTTTCCAGAAATATCAGAGCTGAACATAATTATGTTAATAACTATATCAGCCCTCACTGCACCACATTTACTTTTTTCTTGCCCTTCCTATTTTATGACATACAGTAGATCCTTCATCATGGACCACCTTCCTACATGGACCACCTCATTGAGCTGATGTAATTTTCAAAGACTGGACATGGACCACATGCATGGATCAGTACAGTAGGCCTAGTTCCCTATGCTGACCACCTCTGTATGTTGACCAGTTTGTCACAGTCCCTTGGGTGGTCAACTTACAGAGGTTCTACAGTTTATTCCAAATTGTTGGGTAGAATATAGATACAACCATCCTTATTTTAAGGACTTCCTAATTTTCTCTTTCTATTTTAATAGCTTTGTTTTATACATATCTTACCTTAGACTACCTTAAAATAAAATATGCCAATTAAATGGGAATGTCATGTTAGTTTTTCTGTGATAAATATGCAACTATATACATTGAAAAGAACCCAGATGTTGACTAAGAGGAGCAAAAATAAATATCTGTACACACTAACAACTGTGGAGAGTTAAAAAGTTTTAAAATTGTCAAATGTTTTATGTTACAGAGGTTATTTCTCCTTTGCTTAGATTTTATTTAGACAGAAAAGATAATGAGTGTATTAAAAGGTGATTTTTTTTTCCTATAATTATTCTTAGATTTAAAAAGTTGATATATGATTTCCATTCAGACATTCAACAAAAGGTTTTGAGCACCTATTGTTATGGACAAACTTTCAGGTGGCTCCCTTGATCCTTGCCTCCTATTCACTGCCTTGTAGGATCCTCTCTCCCGACATGGATGTGAGACTTGGAACTTGCTTGTAAACAATACGATATGGCAAACATGAAAGGATGTCCCATTACGGTATATTACATAAGAATCTGTCTTGCTAGCAGACCCACACACTCTAGAGACTTTCTCCCTGAATGGCTCTGAAGAATTAAGTGGTCAGATTAGCTGGCCTATCTGGCCAGGGGCTGCAAGCCTTTAGGGTTCTTAGGTGCCTTCTAGCCAGAAACACACCAGAAGCTGGGGACCTCAGTCTCACAGCACTGAGGAAATGAATTCTGCTAACAACCTGCGTGAGCTTGGAAGCAGACCTTTACCCAGGCAGGTTTCCAGTTGAGAGCCCAGCCCTGGCCCCTGGCCCCTGGCCAATATCTTGACTGCAGCTTTGCAGAGGTCCCAGCTAAGCTGTGCCCCATAGCAACTGTGAAATAATAAATGTGTATATTGTTTTCTTCCATTAAATGTGAGGTAATTTGTTACCACAGCACAGAAAACTAATATGACCTACTATGTGGCAAAGATTCAATACTGTCACAAAACCCCAGGCCATGCCTGTATTTATACAAATTCTAATTTAACAAGAAGGTAGATAATCAAGTGGTAATAGTAAGTTATAAGGTGTTCTGTAGCTGAAAAATACTGGTTGTCATGGGTATACATACAAGAAGACTTAACTCAGTCTTGGAAGTCAGGTGAGATTTAAACAATGACTAGTTGTTACAATCTGGTGAATCTGGGAGAAAGAAAGAAAAAGAAGAAATGGAATAGGGTGCAGGCATTAGAAAGGAAAGAGATGTGAGAGATGTAGAGGATACGCTGCTTGATCAAATTAGAAAAACTAGAAGAAAAAATGGCTGCGAAGACACAGAATATATAATAGGTATGCCTGTTCAATGATTCACATTTTATCCTAGAGGCCATAGGAAGCTGCTACTATATTGTTTACAAGCAACAGAGTAACGGGCTCTGGTCTGTCACTCACGCTGGTGTTGCTAGGATGTACT